TGTGTATTTATATATACATAATAAATATACACAGTACACATACATATATTATGTAAACAAAAACTTTTATTTTGGATGTGATTAATTGCGATTAATCGTTTGACAGCACTAATATTTATTCATTTATATTTTATATTAAACTCTTGTGTGTTCTTTACAACAACAATTTTTGTGGTCATTATTATTTTTTGCTCATTCATGTATTTATTATTTGTTATTGTTATATCTTTATTGTAATTACACATGTCCATGCAATGCAATTCTGCTGGAGCAATCCCATTTACAGCATTAAGAATAAAAAGATAATTATTTACATTTAACATTAAAATACATTTACCCCATAAATAAATAAATACTCTAGGAATCTAAGAAATAATATAAAAATACACACATTTGTATATAAACATACGAAGATAAAAGCACCATAAAACACCAGAGACATTGCACAGTAATCATTCTCATTGATGCCCCAGAGTCCACACATAGGAGTCATTATTGCACAGAGTTTGGAAGTTATTAAAGGTTACAATGAATTCTGCAGCCTGTCCACAGCTCTGGGGTTCGCAGTCTGCCTGAAGGAAGAGTAACAAAGAAAGGGTTTCCGGGGTATGAGGGATCCTGCTGGATATTTGTGGCCCGTGTAAGAGGCAGTTTGAATAGATATCATCCAAACTTGGGAGGGGGGAACCGACAATCCTTTCAGCCATCTTCGCAACCCGCTGCAGATCTTTTTTATCCGAAGCAGTGCAGCTGGAATACCACACTGTACAACAGTATGTTAGAATACTTTCTATTGTGCAGCGGTAGAAGCTGATCAGCAGTCTCTGAGGAAGTTTGTTACGTCTCAGAGTCCTCAGGAAGAACAACCTTTGCTGGGCTTTCTTAATGACACAGGTGGTGTTCAAACTCCAGGTCAAGTCCTCAGTGATATATACTCCCAGAAACTTAAAACCTGAAACTCTCTCTACCTCCTCTTCATTAATATACAAACTATTGTGGGGTGTTTTTTTGCTTCTCCTAAAGTCTATTATGAGGCACTCTTATTTTGAAATTCTCAAGCTAGCTTCTGTGCAATCCCAGATAGTTTTTACCCTTCTAACAAAGGGGTTATACTTTGTATTTTTTGTCTTTTTGACATGATGTATCACATTCCTTTTTGAAGATTAAAGCCTGCCTTGAAAAATTCATTCTTGAAATGTTTCCTAATGCATTTTTCAGCTGTCTGTCATGTTTTGTAGCTTCAGTTGTGATGTTGAGCATACTATCTTGTCCCTTCCTTTCTGTACTCGCAGTTGTGCCCATCAATGGCCATGTGGATTTGAAGAGCAACCTGACCCCTCCCCTCATCACTCACACGGCCGCAACACCCATGCCCATCCCTAAGATAGCAGGAGGAGGAGACCCGGCGCTAGGCGACGAGTCCCGCAGAGGCAGCAATGTCTCAGTGGATCCCAATGGCCAAGACAGATCTCCAGTCAGTAGCTACCTTTCTCTGTAATGATAGAGAAAGTTATCCAAACTACTGTCCTTTTTTTTGTGGTTTTTTTTTGCACTATAATGCACATCATTTTTTTTACTCTCAATTACTGTAGGTGATTAAGTGAGACTTGTAGGGTAATTTAGTTATTCAGTATAATATAATATAATATAATATTACATAACATAACATAACAACAAAATATAAATGATAGAATTCATAATATAAAATGTAATATTTTAAATATATGAATAATTTCTATGGACACAGGTACATTTTTGAGTACATGTGGTGGAGTTGGTTCCAATTGTTTTGTTCTATATTATTTCTGTGTGATTTCGACAAAAACGTTGACACACAGGTTTTACAGTTCGCCAGTGAGGTCTTATTTGAGAGTCACGTATTCCACCTATCTCTCTGCAGTCGAGTGCACGGAGCTCCCCAAATGCCCCCTGGAGTTCAGCCAGTAGCTGGAACAGCAGGCGCTCCAGCTGGAATAGCCTGGGCCGAGCCCCCAGCCTCAAGAGGCAGAAACACCAGTCTGGCGAACGGCGCTCCTTGCTGTCCGGCGATGGCCATTCCAGCTCCGATGAGGGAGATGCGGGAGAGAGCGCAGGCGGCGGGTGCATGTCCGAGGGTGATGATGCCTCCCTCGCCAGGACGGACTCCCTGGGCCAGAGGCCTCGGCACAGGCGCATGGAATCCCTGGAGACACGCAGCTCGTTTGATCTGCCTCCAGACACCCTGCAGGTGCCATACATGCATCGTTCCGCCAGCATACACAGCGCTCGGCCGCCCAACTTCCTCAGCAACGGCAAGAGTTCTCCATCTGCAGCCACCCCTCAGCTTTCTCTAGATGAACACCACAGCGAGGATGACAATGCAGATGATGAAGGAAACCTGGTGAGAAAATCTACACTTGATTTATTACAGCTATTTTCAGTTCCTTACAATAGATTTATCATAAATATCCACAGCTTTTTTTCTATTCAATTTACTGTTATAAGATCACAGGAAACAGTACTACTTTATCTTCTACTGCCAGCAAAACTAACTTACTGGTCCTGTAATCTCATGTGGTCATCCGTCTTTCAGAGTCGGAAGGCTCGTCTCTACCGCTGGCTGGAGCACAAGCAGCCCCAGTGGTGTTGGGAGAGGGTCACCTGGTCTCTTTACCTGTTCCCCCCTCAATCACGGTAAGTGTCTGTGGCTTTCTTGGCTCTCACAGTCTTTCCTTCTGAGAAGACCATCTTAGACATTGTCAGTAAAGAAATGCAGTCCTGAGGATCCCTTTTATATTGAGGAGGCCATAAATGGTTTATATTGTGTTTTTCACCCACAGGATTTGTTGTCTTATCTTAGTAGATCAGCAGTTTCTGTAATGTTCACAGCAGCCTGTCTGGTACCAACAACCGTCCCACATTCAAGTCACTTAAATCATCTTTCTTCCCCATTTTGATGCTCGTTTTGAAATACAGCTGATCATCTTGATCATGTCTATATGCCTAAATGCCCTGAGTTGCTGCCATGTGATTGGCTGATTTGATATTTGGGGCAGTTCAACGGGTGTACAAATAAAGTGGCTATCTAATTGGAAGTCTATAGCTGTGTTCAAAATCACCCCCTATACCCTCATTCACTCTCATACAGTCCAGTTGAAGGAGTAAATGAAAACGAGTGCGTGAATTCGGACTCTGAGCTGCCGCTTTTACATAGTTTGTACTTGTATCTATTTAATAATAATTTAAAACTTAGCAAACTGGCAGCTCCAGCAATGATGAAAAGATTTTTCTTGAACTCTGTCATGGCATCTAGAATTTATAAAACTTAAACTATTTAATAATCAATTAGAAACAAATTTATATTGGTATAATGCGCTGTACCCACATTGAACCAGTGGTTTGTAAAAATGGATGGATGATTCAGCTGCAGGCGTGCCATCTTCTGGCAAGACATGTGAATTCTTTCCGCACGGCCCTCATATTGAATTATGTGTATTCTCTAGCTGTTGAGTGTACATTGGTTGTACACTCATTATTGTGGTTCATTATTGGATTGAATGAGTGCACTCGATAACGTCCACTATAGTTTCGGACATCACTACAGATGGCTTTCCCTTCAAATTGCGCCCTATTTAACGGTATAGGCGACGATTTCGGACACAGCCAATGAGATGTCCTCACTTAGAGTATACAGTGAAACAAACATCTTCCTGGTTAAAATACTTACAGTAAGAAGTCTGCTGGAGACACAAGCTCTCCAGCATCCAAATCACAACATATTCTGGTCATTTCAGCAGGTGAGTCACATTTATCATAGTACCGTGGCTCACGTTCAGTTCAGTTTAGGTTGCCCCTAAGCCCTAGAAAATTCCTCCATTAAAATGCTTAAGGGGTGAGAAATCTCCTGTACTTTTTAGCCTCTCCCTTAGGCATCTTCCTGGTCTTCCCCTTTCTCTCATCTCTTTCCAGTGCTTTCCATTTTTGAAACGCATGTCTGCTCACATTAAGCTCCATGGAGGCCTCACTTATTAGAGGGAGAGGAGAGGAAAGACGAACTCAGCATTGCATGTTACACTCTGTCAGCGCTTTACTAATTAAACATCAAACAACCTCAGATCATCCTCCTCCTCCTTCCTGTGCGAGCCCTAGATGATGCAAGCGCTCACCACTTTGCACTGTTATGACATGCAGACTGGCATGCATTGGTGTCACCAAAACCAAAGCTAAAAGCTTGTGAATTTAATATGTCCATCTGTGTGTGTTCACTATCAGAAGATCTACCATGTTACATCCACATTCAAATCCACATGGTTAATTATGCAGGACTGAGCATTAAGTGTTTGGATTGGTCTGTAAATATAATTGTTGTTTTCATGTATTTCAGCTAATATACTGTACATACTATATGTACAGTACAGTATGTATATACTACTGTTCAAAAGGTTGAGGTTGGTAAAATATTATTAAAATATTGTTTAAAATATTATTAAAACTGTTTTCAGCATTCATAATAAGAAATGTTTCTTGAGCACAAAATCAGCATATTAATATATATATATATATATATACACTCACTGGCCACTTTATTAGGTACACCTTGCTAGTACCGGGTTGGACCCCCTTGTGCTCAATTGGTACTAAGGGGCCCAAAGTCAAAGTGTGCCAAGAAAATATCCCCCACACCATTACACCACCAGCCTGAACCGTTGAGACAAGGCAGGATAGATC